CATTGTACATGCAGTCCACTTTCACGTTCACGTCTTTAGATGCTTTTTCGTTCGTCATAACAAGTTGTTGGATTGACTGTTCAAGTCTACCGATTTGTGAAGCTAGCTGGTTCGTCGTGACTCCCTGCTGTTGTACAAATTGATTGTTAAAACCCGTACCTTGGTAGTTATATGGCTGTCGCGGTTGATATGGTACTATTCCCCCAAAGTTTCCACCTTGAAACTTGTTTTGGAAGGATTTTTGCTGAGGTGGGTAGTACTGATCTTGAGGATTCTCCACATTTGGATTGCGGTAAGAGAAATTGTTGTAATTTGCATTCCGGAAGTTGTTGTTGAAGTTGTTGTTGGAGAATTTTGGTATGGCACCAGTGCTCCTACGTAGTTCACATCTTCTTCTTGAAATGCTTGATTAATGTGATCGATATCACTAGGTCCTTCATCTTCTGCGCCATTGTTGGTTTCACAGGCATGGATCGGGCGATTGTTGCTCTTCAGAAGCTGGCTCACCATGTTCTTCAACTCGGTTATCTCCTTGTTGTCTGTTCCGGCTTGCTTCATCGATCGATCGTATTCAGGACAGTCATTGCTATTGGCTTGAGCCAAATTTTCGATGAGAGCTCTTCCTTGGGTTATCGTCTTTTGCCCAAAATCTCCATTGCTAGCTGTATCAAGTGAAAGTTTGTATTTTGGTTGCAAACCTCGGTAAAATGTGCTCAGCAGGCTTGATCCATGAAATCCATGGTGAGGGCAATAACGTTCATACTCCTTAAAACGTTCCCAAGCTTCATAGAAAGATTCAGTTGGCCCTTGTTGAAAGGTTGAGATATTCGTTCTCAAATTGTTCGACCTTGACTTAATGTAGAAGTGGTTTAGGAAAGCAGTTCTACATTCTTCCCAATTGGTAATCGATCCTGCAGGCAAAGACTTCAACCAACGGTGAGCTTTATCTGCTAATGAAAAAGGGAACAACTTACACTTTAAATAGTCAGGTGGAACTTGGTTTGTTCTCATCATGCTGCAAATTTCTTCAAAAAGCTCGATATGGTCCATTGGGTGCTCAGAAGGAACTCCATGGAACTGGTTTTGCTTCACCAATGAGATGATTTGAGGCTTGACTTCAAACTCATTCCGGTTTGGAAATGGTACTTGAATTGCAGATCGATTCTGAAAATCTTGAGTAGGTGCATCAAAATCAGCTATGCGATGGTTCCTGGCTTGTCTTCGGTGTTGATTTGCTGGCGGAATGGGGCGGTGAATGCGTTCATTCGGCTGCATTGCTGGGTGGTGATAACACCGTATTTTGACCACTTTTATGGATTGTTTTGAAATACTTTTTCTATGTTTTTAATTGCTTTTAAGTACTTTTATTATGTTTTTCTAGTATTTGTAGTTCCAAGACTCTTTTCAGGTAACTTAGGGAAAAGCTTAACAAAATGGATAGAAAACCAGATTTCAGCTCAGAGTCAAACCGTCAGAAGTTCACCCCTGATTGAAGGCCTTCTCACCGTCTGATCCAGCTCAAATTTGGAGACCTTAAAGATGAAGTATCAGCTTTCCAGTGCACTTTACAGCTTGGCAATCCAACGGTTCAATCAAAAGATACGCGAAGAGCAAGATGTCCCGTAAACCAGCCGGCAAGCACTTCCACCCGCGGCCAACAAGCAATTTCCCGCGGTCAGGAGCATCCCGACCGCGGCAAACCACTCATTCCCCGCGGTCACACTTGTCCCGACCGCGGCCATCAACCTCCGAGCCCAAAAAGCCCATTTCTGAAGCCCACATTTGGAGAAACCCTAAGTGACGTCCAGAGAGGTCTTGAGCACTATAAATACATGTCTTAGGAACCCTAAACGAGGAGACATATCGTGTAACCTCATATCATCTATTATTACTTCATTGTTTTTGCTGTAGCTTTTAGGGAGAGAGAGATTTGTTCTCTTGAACCCTTGTTCTTTCTTTTTCAATTTTGGTTTCTATTCTACTTATTAATACTATGTTTATGATTTCGTTCATTATGTCTGAGTAGTTTTATTGTTGGGATTAAGGGATTTTCGATGGGGATTTATATGTTCGATGAGGATTCCATGAGCTTTTGAGCCGAATCTTAGAAATTTTTCTTCTGAATTCGTTTTTACTGCATGAGGGTAGCGTCATGAACTACAATCTGATCCAGATGCTTGGTGACACGAAAGTGTTCATCAGGTATCAGATCTAGTTTGGGAGAGCAAAACAAACATAGGAGTGGAAACCTACCTATGGGCGATTTGTGAATTAGGACGAGTCTTAAACATAATGCATCTCTTCTCTTCCAGGGCCAGAGTGGAAACCTACTGGTCAGGATTGAGAGAGATAGTTGTCTATGATCACGACAGTGGTGTATTCATACGTCCGTGACTCCAGTTCGAAAAGTTTTAGCTAAGATCTTATCAATTTTCCTCTCTAGCAATGTTTTGAATCGTTCGTACCCCTGAGAAAACTTCCCTGAACCCCAACGCCTTCTTCCTTATTGATTTACACCAATTTTTCTTTAAGCTTTAGTTCAATATTGTCTTTCCTTTTTAGTTCATTTTCATTTAGGCATTAGAATATCCGTTTTTATCATTTTATTTAGTCATTTTCATTAAGTTTAGTTATTACGTCATTTAATTCCTGTATTCTCTTTTAATATTTCGTTTTTACATTTTAAACACACTACCAAACCCCCACTAAACCGTTTTTTTCTAGACTTCCTTACTTTAATCTTATTTCAAAGGCTTTTTGCAGGAAAAGATCCTCCTTCCCTGTGGATTCGATCCCTAAGTACTACAATCGATCAGCTGTGCACTTGCGGCTATTGATTTCATTTAGGGTAAAACTTGACAACCCTCGACACACACCGACACCAAACATCAGGTGGTCACCATCGGCTGCATTGATGGGTGGATCAAGGTCTTCACGTCCTTCTCTCTCTCGGTTCTGGTGGTTTCTTGGAAGAACCTCATCCTCCTCTCCATCTTGTCGAGCATGATCACCTTCTATGTGATCATTCTCTTCGTTTTCTCCATGTTCGGACCCATCTTGGTCCATATTTAAATTTCGATTAATAGGATCTCCAGGCTGGTCGTCGTTGGCCATTCCTTACGTTCGTCTAAGTCTTCGAAGTTCTCTTTCATGTCTGTCTATCTCGTCTAGAATTGGAATGTCTCCTGCAGGTCTACGCCTGGTATTCATGCAATTCAGATAAAAACAAAAGAAGGGAAAGATAGTTCAGAAAAACTTTAAGAAAGAACTAGAGATCAGGTGTCTAGAACAGAAGTTAAAACAAGAAAAATAGCAAAAGGCAGCGAAACAAATCCCCGGCAACGGCGCCAAAAACTTGATGGTCGTGTCAACTGCGTGAGGGAACAAGTTTTACCCTTAACAAAACAAATGAAAGCTGCAAGTGCACAGCTGATCAGTTGCAGTATTTAGGGATCGAATCCACAGAGATTTGTGTGCCTGGTATTCTTCTACGGTTTTTTTTTTTTAACTTTATGTCTAGACTAAATTGGTTTTAAAGGTTGGTTGTTTTTCTTGCGAATTAAAATAAGACAAAAGAAAGCAAATAAATCTATCCTAAAAAGCAGGTAAGAAAATCGAATTAAATGCAATTAGAATAAGCAAATATCGAATGAAAGACTAATAAGGCAAGTAAAATATCGCAAGCAAGGTAAATAATGAACTAAGGAAATTGAAATGCAGGTCTAAGAAAGCAAGTAAAAATCGATGGAATTGTAAACTATGGCTAAAAACGCTGAGCTTTTGGGAACTCTAAGGGATCATAATCAGTTTTAACACTAAGGTAGATAGATTGGGATTGACGGATAACGATATATTTGTTCTAGAGCTAGAGTACGGCGGTATGACTACGTCACTGTCGTGATCATAACCAACTGTTTCTCGCAATCCTGACCAGTAGGTTTCCACTCTGGCCCTGGAAGGGAGAGAGCGCAAGAGCTGAACAAGACTCGTCAATTCTCACGATCTCGCCGCAGGTAGGTTTCCACTCCTACGGAAAAATCGCCTGTTTCATTCTAGGGCTGATACTTAATGAAAACTTTCGCAACACTAACTATCTAGATCAGATACTAGGTGATCAATCAAGCATACATGCAATAAGAACAAGAATAAACAGAGAACAGGTCGAAATCCCAGATCTATAAACCTAGATGTCTTAATCGATTATGAGAGCCCCTTTCGGGAACCCTAAGCCCAACTCGGGATCTACTCAGACATGGCTAAGTTCGACATCATCATTGGTTTTAATAAAAGTAATGAAAAACAGTAAAGAAAAGAGATAAAGAAAGCTTCTCTATTGAAGAACTCGGACTTGAACAATCTTCTACAAAAAATCTCATAAAAACGGCTAAAGGAAAAGGATTTCTGTAAAGTATGAAGGGTTGTGTCTAAAAACGACCTAAATGACATGTATTTATAGTCTCCAATACTCCATGGTCTCTAGGGTTCCGGATTTGAGGCTGAGAATGACTTTGGGCTTCAGATAAGTGGGCTTTAACTCGGAGATTGATTGCCGCGGTCGGGAGTGTTGTGACCGCGGCAATTGGCTTGTTGGCCGCGGTCGGGAAGCTTCTGACCGCGGCAAATAGCTTGTTGGCCGCGGTCGCGTGAGTTGCTGACCGACTTCGAGTGGCTCCGGGGCTAATGGAATATCTTGAGATCCAACCGTTGGAATGTCTCCAAACCAAGTGCATTTGAAAGCTGGTTGATTCTTCTATAAGTTGTCCAATTTTGAGGGTGATCAGACGGTGAGAAGGTCTTCGTCTCTCCATGAGAGTTCTGACGGTCTGCATTTATCCAAAAGAGTCTTTTTGTTCCATTTTGTGCCTCTTTATCCCAAATTACCTGAAAAGTCTTTTAAAATCTAGAAACATAGAAATCCTTTGAAAACCTTTGAAAATGGAGTAAAAACACCTATAAAAGATATTAAAATGATCCATAAAAATTGTCAAAATCCGGTGTTATCAGATCTCTTCAGGGAACATGTCTTTGTACCTGTCTAATAGGGAGCTGACCTCTGGTGGAATCTCCATATCTGTTGATTCTGCGCTTAGACATTCTTTGTAAAGCATTAGTAACATAGTGCCATTGGCACTTAAAGCATGGTTTAATCCTCCATAAGTAATATATAAGCTAGACTTAGACTTAGACTCTTGAGCCATCTTACTTTGAAGCTCGTGAACTTCAGATGGGCTTAAGGGTGCTAAGTTAAACTTACGGTCCATGTGTGTGAAGCTATAGTAATTAGTTCGGCCGTTGTGTAGGGTAGCTTTGTCAAACTGCCAAGGCCGACCTAGTAACAAATGCCCGGCTTGAATTGGCACCACATCACATAGCACTTTATCTCGGTATTTAACAACGCTGAACGGTACGGTGACTTGTTCGGTTACCTTGAGCTCTGTGGCATCATTAAGCCATTGTAGCTTGTAGGGCCGCGGGTGCTTTGTCTTTTCAAGACCTAATCTGTCCACCATAAACTTGCTAGCCACGTTAGTACAAGACCCACCGTTGATGACTACATTACATACCTTGTTCTTGATTGTACATCGCGTGTGGAACAAGTTTTCTCGTTGTACCATCTCCTCAGGTTGCACTTGAACGTTCAGAACCCTCCGAGTCACCAATAGATACTCTCCAGTGTCGGGGTACTCCACATCTTCCTCCTCACTGTTCACCTCCATCTCGGCTTCATCTTGGGACTCATATCCACTTGGAGTAACCACAATGACCCGTTGGTTGGGGCAGTCTCGCTGATAGTGACCTCGTCCCTGAAATTTGAAACAAACAATGTCTCGGGTTCTAGCTTGGCTAGTGTTTTGGAACTTACCTTGTTCCGGTTTGTTGGGCCTTGGAGGCTCGGTGGATTTGCCCTTGAATCGAGATTCGATCTCTATAGCTTTGCCTTTGTCGAGGGGTTTGCTGGTGCTGGCTTGCCAAGGCTGATTGTTTAGGCCTCGGTTTGAGAGAGATGACTTTCTCTTGATTTGTTGCTCCACTTGCACCGAGAGATGTAATAGCTCATGCAGGCCACTATACTTAACTCGCTCCACCTTCCGAGCTATTCTTTCTTGAAGACCATCGACGAATTGAGCCATGAGAGCCTCCTCGGACTCTTCTAACTCCAAGGAGTTCATGAGTTTCTCGAACTCTTCGAAATACTCCTCAACGCTCCTTGATCCCTGTGTCAACTTACGAAAACGTTTTTGTAAGTCCCTATGATAATGTTTGGGCACATACCTCAACCGCAGTAGGTATTTCATGTCGTGCCACGTTTGAATTGGGCCAAAGACTTGTCGCCTCCTCTCGGCCACGGTGCAATCCCACCATGCCAATGCATTGTCGGTGAGCTGAGCCGCAGCTAACGCGACTTTCTTGAGCTCTCCATAGCTGTAACACTCGAAGATATACTCCAAGCGCCTCTCCCAGTCTAAATAGACCTCAGGGTTTGATTTGCCTGCAAAAGTGGGAGGAGTTAGTTTCACGTCATTGTTAACTTCCCTATGCTCTTGTTCTCTTGGCCTGTTTCTGAGCAAAGGGTCTTGTCTCCTCTGGTGACGCCGGTTTAATGGATCAGGGGGTTGATCCTCCTCTAGTTCCAGCATGCTATCCATCTCCGAGTCCTCAGGGTGATGGTCTCGGGGGGCTCGCACGTTCCTCCGAGCTGGTGGGAGTTCTGCGTTGGGAGCCCTCGGTTGTCGTTGTTCGAGACGCGCGGCTTGCTCACGAGTGTCTCGCAACTCCTCTCTCATGGTGGCAAGCATCGCCATAAGCTCATGATGTTGCTGACCGTTGGTGTGGGCTGGTGCGGCGTTGTTGGTAGTCTCACTGTTGTCCCCCATGGTTTTAAAACACGGTTCCTCGTAAACACAACTAAAACAACGATCTGTCAAAGTATTAAGTGTAAGACGAGTAGATAACGCTAAAAGGAACTGAAGCTCTAATAAAATTCTTTTGTTCTTTTCTAGTTTTTGAATGAAAACCGGTATGCAAAGATATGAAACAAGACTATGATGATATAGAAAGTTTTTTTTTTTGTTGACTACTTAATAAACGGAAACAAATAACGCTTAACTAATAAACCCTAACTATATTTTTTTTTGCTTTTCTTATCAAAGTTCAACGGATCTAAACAATCTAGTGAAAGCGGAATAAAGAGAAAATAATGAAGGATAAGGGTAAGAAAAACCGAAGCAGGAACTTCAGCTCTGATACCAAAATGATGTAAGAACCGGTGGTGGCTTTCACACTGATGATACGGATGGGAACTAAGACAGGCGGTCGCCCTCTCCTTAGCTCGGTTTATGATCGATGATGGAATGATCTGACACGCAGGCGGTCGCCCACTCGTGTGGGATCTAAACGGGGTGTGATGGCGGCGTGAGTTCACAACACAGAGGGATGATGAGTCTCTGATACGGTGAAGGCCCAAAGCTTGCTTAAATCGTACAAACAAACCAAGAAAAAAGAGAAATCGCTTCTCGGGTAAACTTTGAAGAAAGTTCGATATTTTATTGATATGGGGAAAAAGTCTCCGGACTACAATGCTGCAAAGGATCCTTATAAACTGGTTCGTCAGCTTGAACCTTCTAGGGTTCGACTCTGGACTCAAAACGACAGGACTAAGTAAATAAAACTCAAAGAAAACAAACCTAGTCTAAGAAACAAAGCTCATCGTTTCATTTATTACAGAAATGGAAAGTTTGAAATAAAAGACTTAAACTACACGACTTGAGTCGTTTAACTCTGACACTTAGTCGCTGGCGATGTCGATTCCTCCTGCAAGCACAATAAAATAATTGAAACACTTACCTTGGGGTGGCGCGGCTCGTTTGGTGTCGTGCGTGACCTCGGTATTTATTGAAGAAGGACTCGATGATCTCGTTTGGTGTCGTGCGCGTCGGCCTGTGGGCTCCCCATTCGACCCGTCTTGAAACACGGACCATTCCCATTCCCATTCCCAAAATCAAAACGAGGTAAGAAAATTTAACCACAGAAATTTCAATTACCTCGATTAGCCTTCAATGTCGGATCAGTGCAGCAAAATGTCAAGAAGGACTCGATGATCTCTCGTTCTCTCTGTCGCGATCACTGAGAGAGGAAGCTGGTCAAAGATGGTTTCAAGATGGTCCTCCCGATAAAGCCTGTTCCTGATTGGATAAGTTTTTGGCGCCTAATATTTTGTCTCCTCCCTCCTGATTGGTCTATTTTCTAGACGCTCATCTCTGATTAGCTAGTTGTACTTATATCTCATTGGTCGAAATTTGGTAAGCCGCTCTTCATTGGTTCATCTACGCTTAATATCATTGGCCAAATTTCTATTTCTAATTTTCTTCTATAGAAAATTACAAGGACTACTTGGACATTTTCAAGCTCATTAAAAGGTGAGAGACCCGCGAGGGATACGAAAGAATGAAGGAGTGTACGAGAGAATAAATAATTTCTCAAATGAGTGTTTTAGATTATTCCTCGCATTTTGGCCGATAAAAACTCGATCCACTCAGCATGAAGTTTCAACCAATAAACTCCTGGTCCAGTACAGCATTTGGCTGAGACAAATCACCCGGTGAACGTTTTCAGCCGAAAAATAGTAGCCTGCAGTACATGGCTTTAATTGCCGATGGATCCAAAAACGCCATTTCCACCTTTTCTGAACCTCCAAATTCCATTTCACCACTTGATTTCACCTCTTCCACTCCAAAAGCCTCCAAAGTACCACTCCAAACCATGCAATGACTCACTTGGACCTAATGCAAACCCCTAAGTCCTAAAACAATACCTAAAGACCTAAAATGCATGAAATAAGACATGGTTAGGACTAAAACATGCAAGCTAAATGATGCATTTTATGAACATATCAAGAAGTCATGAACCTAAAACTGAAAACAATATGTTTAAAAAACTGAAGAATAACAAATAAGAATACTAAAACTAAAAAAAATTATTAAACAACATAAATATATATACTATCTAATTTATATTTAACTATGTTAAATTAAAAATACTAAAACATAAACTTAGAATGAATGAAATTAAAATTTACTAAGCATAGTGATTGTTTTCTTATTTTATTTTTCATGTGATTTAATCGTCGTCTTTGAACTAATAAAAAAAATAATCAATAAAAATGAAGGAAAAAAACAAATTTTGAAACCAAAAATAAAGTCAATAGTCAAAAATAAATTCAAACAATTGAAGAACAAAAAAAACACAAACTACAAAACTACAACACACAAAAACAAAAATCAAAAAGTAATAGAGAAGATAAGAAAATATAAAAATTAGAGACAAAAATGATAGAAAAGAAAACAAGAAAAGAATATGACAACAAATAAAAAAATAAAAATAAAAGTATGGTTGAAAATATAGATGCAATGAAATATATGTACTAAAAAAAGTGGAAATAATAAATCGTAAAAGTTAAAAATAGTTGTTGTGTGAGGATTTAATGAAAATATTTTGAAAAAAATGGATAAAGAAGTTACTAAGATTATAAATATGTTAATGGTAAAAAAGTAAGTTATGAGCATAAACTAAAAAAAAATATATTTTTTAAAATAATAAACAACTGAAGAATAATAAGTAAGAAAAATAAAACTATAACAGAAAAAAATTTAAGAAAATATGAACATATCAAAAATAAAGAGAAAAAAATAATATAAAAATATACGGGAAGAATTTTGAAGGTATCGATTGTAAAGATGAATTAAATAGAATATATGTAATAAGAAATTATGAAAAATAATAAACTAAGAAAGTTACAATTGTTGTTAGTCAAGATTTTGATGAGAAAAATTCAAAAAAATAATAGATGAAAAAATTTACTAAAATCATAAAAAAAATGTATATTGAGAAAATTAAAAATTATCTCCAGGTCAAAATTTAGATCAAGGAATTTGAAATTTGGATGAAGGTGATAACACCGGATTTTGACAATTTTTATGGATCACTTTAATGTCTTTTACAGGTGTTTTTACTCTATTTTCAAAGGTTTTCAAAGGATTTCTATGTTTTCGGATTTTAAAAGATTTTTCAGGTAATTTGGGATAAAGAGGCACAAATTAGAATAAAAAGACTCTTTTGGATAAATGCAGACCGTCAAAACTCTCATGGAGAGGCGAAGACCTTCTCACCGTCTGATCACCCTCAAAATTGGACAACTTATAGAGGAATCAACCAGCTTTCAAATGCACTTGGTTTGGAGACATTCCAACGGTTGGATCTCAAGATATTCCATTAGCCCCGGAGCCACTCAAAGACGGCCAGCAAGTCACGCGACCGCGGCCACCAGCCCATTCCCCCCGGTCACAAGCTTCCCGACCGCGGCCAACCACCTATCTCCCACGGTCATGTTACTCTCGACCGCGGCCAACCACCTATTTCCCGCGGTCACGTTACTCTCGACCGCGGCCGGCTAACTTCGAATTAAAACCCATATTTCTGAAGCCTTAAGTCATTTCTCAGCCTCAATTCCGGAACCCTAGAGACCATGGAGTATTGAAGACTATAAATACTTGTCATTAAGGTCTTTTGTAGACACCGCCTTCATACTTTTACAGAAACCATTTTCCTTTAGCCGTTTTATGCGATTTTTATAGAAGATTGTTCAAGTCTGAGTTCTTCAACAGAGAAGCTTTCTTTCATCTCTTTTCTTTACTGTTTTTGATTACTTTTATTAAAACTGATGATGATGTCGACCTCAGCCATGTCTGAGTAGATCCCGAGTTGGGCTTAGGGTTCCCGAAAGGGGCTCTCATAATCGATTAAAACATCTAGGTTTATAGATCTGGGATTTTAACTTTGTTCTCTGTTTATTCTCGTTCTTATTTCATGTATGCTTGATTGATCACCTAGTATCTGATCTAGATAGTTAGTGTTGCGAAAGTTTTGATTAAGTATCAGACCTAGAATGAAACAGGCGATTTTTCCGTAGGAGTGGAAACCTACCTGCGGCGAGATCGTGAGTATTGACGAATCTTGTGCAAATCTTGCATTATCTCCCTTCCAGGACCAGAGTGGAAACCTACTGGTCAGGGTTGCGAGAAACAGTTGATTATGATCACGACAGTGACGTAGTCATACCGCCGTACTCTAGCTCTAGAATCCTATATTTCGATATCCGTGAATCCCAATCTATCATCCCTAGTGTTAAAACCGATTATGATCCCTGTAGAGTTCCCGAAAGCTCAGCATTTTTAGCCATAGTTTACAAACCAATCGATTTCTGCTTGCTTATTTAGATCTGCATTTCAATTGCTTTAGTTCGATATTTTGCTTGTTTCATTTGCTTTCATTCGATTTTCCTACTTGCTTTCTAGGATAGATTTATTTGCTTTCTTTTGTTTTAGTTTAATCCGAGACAAACAACCAACATCTAAAATCAATCTAGTCTAGACATAAAGTTAGAAATCGTAGAAGAATACCAGGCACACAAATCTCTATGGATTCGATCCCTAGATACTACAACTGATTAGCTGTGCACTTGCAGCTTTCATTTGTTTTTATTAAGGGTAAAACTTGACACCCTCACGCAGACACGCATCAAGTTTTTGGTGCCGTTGCCGGAAATTTGTTTCGCTGCCTTTTGTTATTTTTCTTGTTCTAATTTCTGTTCTAGACACCTGATCTCTAGTTCTTTCTTAAAGTTTTGCTGAATTATCTTTCCCTCCTTTTCTTTTTCTCTGAATTGCATGAATAACAGGCGCAGACTTGTAGAAAACATTCCAATTCTAGACGAGATAAACAGACACGAAAGAGAACTTCGAAGACTTAGACGAACGCAAGGGATGGCCAACGACGACCAGCCTGGAGATTCTATTAACCGAGCTTTGAATATGGACCA